TCTTCTTTCAGGATAACATATATATTTATAGATTGCCATATGTTCTATGTTTCATATAGTTCATTCTATAGGATTTATATAATTTTCATCCATTTTGCAGGGTCTCTAATACAAAAATATAGTCTACAGTAATTACACTGAATTTTCAACATTCAAGTTTTTCTTCGGCTGAGGTATGCTATAAAGATTAATATTTTTTAAAATTAAAATTATACATTTCTCAAAATGATAACTGAACACATTTGCAAAATGATATTTATAATTAAATTAATATGAACATCATAATCTCTTTCTTCTGAAACAGTAAGCCTAAAACCTATAAAACATTAAAAAAATAATAACTATAACAAAAGATGTAAAAAATACTGCATCTTTATTAATAATTAATTACGAAAAAAATTACTAAATTAGATATATTATAAAAATTAAGATTCATGATTAACACTATTATAATAATAAAATTTAGATTTTTTTGGATCATTATATGATAACTATTAAGAAACATAATAAATGTATAAAAATAAAATACATATATAACAACAATGGTATTTATAATATAATTAAATTAATCAAGTAATAATAACATTTCACTTTATTTAAAAATATATATTATTACAAAATACATTTTTCCTTATAGCATTTATTTACTAAGATTAAATGATGAATATACATATACAATTAATATATATTACCTCACTGAACCACAAGTCCACATGAATCACCATATTAAAGGATTATCCAAGTCATGTAAAAAGTGTATAAGTAATTAATATATACTTCAAAGAAGAACAATAATAAGAATCCAACCTTTATCATGTAATGTTAAATAAATTACTTCTATGTAGCAATATATATATCTACAAAAAAAAAAAAATAAATAAATAAACCTATATTATAAAATTATAAATCCTGTCCCTGAAAATTCTTTCTTTTGTCATTTAATATCTTGTAGAAGTCTTACCTTTTTTATTATTATATTAAATTTTAGAAAAAAAAATAAAATTAATTAAATATATTAAAAAAATCATTATATAAAATTTACATATTATAATTTTTAAATTGATTCCTTCTATGGAAAAGCTATTCTTATATTTTTAAGAGTTAATATATTTATGTAAATTTTGTAATACCACTAATCAATATATATTAATATAAAAATATCTCCTAACATAATATATATTAATTAATTATATACCTTTTCTATATTATATAAAACATTATTATAATGGCTATTCGTGTTATAGTACAATTTTATTGGGTTATATTCATATTTAAATTTACTTATTTCGAATGTATTTTCTGCTAATGAAAAAACATATAACATAATGGCTTCCATAGGTCCATTGAGTATAGATGTATGCTATTATTTTATATTAAAATTATTAATTATATTATTCAATATGAATATACTTCTATTTTTAGAGACCAAGTTAAAATTCATTTTCATGTAAATATTAATTTAAATTTTTTCATATTATTTCTTTAATGTATACTTTGATTTACAGAGTATATTTCCTCGATGCATAAAAGAATATAAGGATGTTGAAAGAGAAAATTCAGTTTATTTCATAAATTCATTTAATAATGTATGCAATAAAATTATAAAAGAATTATTACATGACAATACTGATTATAAAAGTGTTTGCATTTTCCTTAGCAACTACTTAAAACATATACAAAGTAAATCAGCAGTAGATAGAATACCGTATTGTAAATATTTTAATTTC